TACGTACAGGCATCAAGTTAATAGTGTTTACTTATACCTTTTACCAGGCTTGTTGTTCTGTGTATAAGTGTGACTGTTATTTGTATTGTATCCTTTAACTTTTAAATGTTACCAAATAACAAAACAAACAAAAAAAAATATTATTATATATACAGTGAACAATTTTTATGTTTGTGCAAATACAAGATTTATTTGTAAGGATAAATATGAGATATCATTTTCATGATTGCTGAAGTATCCCGATAGTTATACACTATATTATTGCATAGATCATCATTTAGACAATAGTTTTAGAGAATAAAAATTTTATTACATGATTCCTGGTGTTGTGTTCCTTTCATGTCTGTATCGTGTTCCTGTCAGCAGACGTAATGCGTCATGATGAAGAGACTTATTTCTACTACCGTTTACACGCATATTCTTGTCTTTGCAAAAGAAAATATTATATTTATGTTTCACTAGCTTGAGAGTACATAGGACAGAGAAATTGTTACCAAAGGTGGAGATTCTTGACTCTCAGAAACCTAAGGTTTTCCCAAGATTTAGGATAAGAGAGAGAAATATCTCTCAGAAGTTAGGCAATAATTGGTTTTCAAACATTAGGTTTTCAATAACTATAGTCTATGACAGAAAAAATTTCACCTGAAGGAGATTCTTGACTGTCAAATCTTACCTTTTCAATAGCTATGAACGAGATTATTGACTGTCAAAACTTTGGCTTTCGATAGCTGAGAGTTAGAACTGAAAAATCCATCCTGAATTAGGAGATTATCTGTTCTCATCAAACATAAGGCTTTTCCTTGCTTTAGGCAAGGGCAGGGAACTCTACCACAGTAGAATTTTTTTTGACTGCCAGACCTTAAGCTTTACCTAACTTAAAGGTAGGACAGAGAAAATCTCACAGGGAGAAAATCATTCGTGACTGTCACACCTTAGGCTTTAACTGACGCTTGGAAGGAAGGACAGAGAAATTTCTCCTAGATTAGGAAATTCTATATAGTCAAACTTTAGCCTGGACTAGACTTTAATCTGGAATAGATAAGTCTCTGTTGAAGGAGGATATTCTTGGTATTAATCCTTATGTTTTTCCTAGCTATAGGTTAGGACATAGAAATCTCTACCAAAGGAGGAGATTTTTAACTCAAACCCTAGGCTTCCCTAGTGTAGGTTAGGGCATAGATTCCTAGCTATGGGTTAGGACATAGATTCCTAATTATAGGTTAGGACATAGATACGTAGCTATAGGTTAGGGCATAGAAGTCTACCAAAGGAGTAGATTCTGGACCCAAATGTTAGACTTTTCCTTGCTATAGGTTAGGACATAGATACCTAGCTATAGGTTAGGACATAGATATCTAGCTATAGGTTAGGACAAAGATACCTAGCTACAGCTTAGGACATAGATTCCTAGCTATGGGTTAGGACATGGTTTCCTAGCTATAAGTTAGGATATAGCAGTCTACCCAAGGAGGAGATTTTTGACTCAAACCTTAGGCTTCCCTAGCTGTAGGTTAGGGCATAGATTCCTAGCTATGGGTTAGGACATAGATTCCTAGCTATAGGTTAGGGCATGGTTTCCTAGCTATAAGTTAGGATATTGCTGTCTACCAAAGGAGTAGGTTCTTGACTCAATCCTTAGTCTTTCCCAGCCTTTATGTTTGAAAAGAAGTAGTACGGAAGACTTTCTCAAGTTATAGGCTAGAACAGAAAAATCTATGTCAAACCTGAGACTTCCCCCCCCGCTGTATGTCAGGACCAGGAAATCTCTATTGAAGGTGGAGATTCTTCACTTTTAAACCATATGTTTTCCCCAGCTTAAGGGTTAGGAAAGAGAAAGCTTTCCTAAAGGAAGAGATTTTTGACTGTCAAACCTTAGGCTTTCCCTAAGTTAAGGGTGGGAAAGAAAAATTCCTCATTAATTAGATTCTTGATTGTCAAACCTTAGCATTTCCCTAGCTTTATCCAGAACAGAAATATATCTACCTAAGGAGGAGATACATAACTAACCAGAGAATTTATCTAGCGTACAGTAGGACCACAATCTCCACGCGAAAAGATACTTGACTGTAACACTGTAACCCAAGGTTTTCTTTAGCTTGTCTATATGACGAAGAAATCTTTACCCGAGATTCTTGACTGGAAAACTCAAAGCTATGTTAAAGAATTTCCTCTGCAGATAGCTCTATGTTAAAGCTTGGGAATGGTCCTTGTCTCAATATATATGATCAGATACAAACAAACAATGAAACATATTTAAACAAATGGCAATTTCCTGTATAATGTGTTACAATATTTTGGCTCTCTGCACTCCTGGAACATGTCAAGGTAAAATTGAAGGCTCAAGCAAAGTAATTTGATTGGTTCCAGGAGAAAAAAATCTGACCAATCACAAGCTGATACACTCCTTTTGAAGATTACAAAGGAGCGACACCAAACTTCAGCCAGTACAATATACCGTTATGCAATATCAAGATTTGTTTGATGTACATTAAAGGATCAAATGATCTTTTTGTCTTGTCCACAAGGTGTTGCACATGGAACCTTCAATTTTGCCATGACATGTTCCAGGGGTGCACAGAGAAAAAGTGATCATAACCCTTGGAGTACTGAGGATGGATGTGTTAGCATTATTGCACTAGAGTCTCTGTAATTGTCAAACATTGAAAAGTAGAATAATAAGTTGTTACTCCAGCTCATTCTTGATGTCACATAGTATTACATTGGTCAATGAGAATAGTCTGTGGCTGTATCCAGAAATATCACCTGCAATATTCTCATTCCCATACAAATCACCGTTAATGATGCAAGTGACCTAGACTGATACTGACATGTTTAGAAAATGGCATGAACAATGATCCAAGTCCCTTTTGATGTTACTTGGGTCATGAATATCTTGGTAGAAACAACAGAAAAATTATTATTATCTGATGACTAGCTGCTTAACCCTTTCGGTGCCATAGGCGACTAGAGTCAACATGCAGACAGGCCGCCGTAGCAACTTTGGTCGACAAAGTTAATATCTTTATTTCAGTAATGCTGCCATTGCTTTCGGATATTTTCTGGAAAATATTTGGCGCTGAGCTGTACATTGTGAGAGATAATTGATGCCGAAAGGGTTAAATCTCCAGTTGGCCTTCCTTCTCCACCCAAAATCCTTCTTCAATATCTTGAGAACAGATGGATCACTTGCAAATTTCATACTCAAGTTATCCTTGGTATTGATAGCTCAGTCTGTTGGAACATTGGGTAGAGATCTGAGGTAAATGGTTTTAATTTTTATATTCATGGTTGTGTTTCTCAGAAAACTGAGAAACAGACTGGTCTGTGCTGGCATGGTTGTGCCCTTGAGCACTTTACCCCTCATTGCTCTGGAGGGCATGAACAGAAAACCTTGCCCCAAAAAGACCCTTAGTGTTCACTGGACAATAAACCTAGAAAACCAGACACCAGATATCTTTTGTCTCTAGTTTTACAAAAACATTTCATTTTGGTTTTGGAAAGAAATACATAATAGCTGACATGCAGCCATCTTGTATTTTGACAGTTCAATCTTTTATCGTTATTTCTTGAAAACTGCTGATTGATCATTCTTAACATTTAGGTATGTCTTGCCATAAGTACTTGATGTGCACATTAGATTTTGGGTCTGTATGGATTTTTTTTTTAAAAAAGACAGACTCTTGACCATCTTAGATGTAATGGATGGAATATTCAAATTTCAGTTTGTTCATTTTATGGCAAAAACAAGAGGCCCATGGGGCCTGTATCGCTCAGCTGGTTTTGCTTTATCTTAATCAAAGAAAAAGAAATCTAAAGATTTACAAGTTATTCCCTTATGGGCCTGTACAAAATCTGGATAAGTTATTGTTATTGTCATTTCTAGCAGGTGGATTTCAGGGATTTAGCTATATATCCTCATTTTGGCCCTAACCCAGTGGAATATTGATCCATCTTCACCCAAAGTCACTTTCTGAATGAATTGGGACAGAATCCTGGAATTCCTAAGGGGAAAAAAATGGAAAAGAAAAAGTTTGTCTGTTTCCCATATTGGGTCAAACCCATATTGCCCCAGTGGGCCAAGATTCACTGTTTACACAAAATTGATTCCCCTTCACATAAGCATGCTTTGGACTAAAATGGTAAAATATCCAGGTATTCCTACATAAGAATTTTTTAAAAATTAGGGGTTGAAACCCAATACAAAATATACTCCTCTTCTCCCAAAGATGCATCTGACCAAATTTGGTAAAAATCTGTCTTCCATGACAAGTAGGAATTAGTAAAAATATGTTGACGCAGGAGACAGAATGACAACTAGATTTCACAATATGGTAAAAAGCTCATTAGTTCTTGGGATTAGGTGAGCTAATAAAACGAGGTCTGAAGATGAAGCTAAAGGGAAAATACATACACAATTTATATATATCAAGCAATATAACGCTGAAGCAAGACAAATACAAAATGTTTTGATGGGAGGGTGATTATAACTTGGGCAAACATTTCCTCATATCCAGAAATCATAAGTTATTTAAGTGTTTTTACAAATTTTGACCCTTGTGGTATTGAATACTAGTACAAAGCAAGGTAATTTCTTGGTGCAAATTTTGTCAAGCTTCATCCCAGGAACCTATATCATTCAGCCAAATATAACAATTCTAGGGCATTTGGATAAAAAGAAGCTTTTTAAAGTGTTTTCAGAAATATACTAGCTAAACTTTATGACCGTACGCTAAACGGTTACTACAGTAGACGTAATAAAAAGAAAAAGTAGACAGACAACATATGCCACAAAATGACATAAGCTAACTTTTGCCCTTCTAGCCAAGTGATAAAAAAAACCTTTGTGTTTGATTGAAAAAATTATAAATAACTGATTTGTTTTGCCACTTATCATCACTGTTTCTGGATCCTTGCTTGATGTTGGTAGTCTTTTAAAAATAAACAACAATGGACAAATTTTGTTTCATTTATAAGATCTATAACTTTATTCAGACTGATACAATCGAATGATTTCTGAGTTCTTGTATAAATGGTTGATGATAATATTGATGCACAAAACTTTCATATATAATTTACTTAAAAACCAATGCCAAAAGTAAGTAGACAACGCTACCAAGAGTAAATGTGTTTAAAGGAAAACAGAATAACAAAAATCAGACAATCAGATTGCACTAGTACATTTAAATTACATTGATATATACAATATATGACACAATGACTTTGGCCATTCATAATTAACTACCATTCACTGTATCTTTACAATGATAATGTCACTCATCCTTAACCAATTCATTCTAGAATTGGGTTACTGCTTTCATTCTTGACTTTGGTCAGCAAATTCATTTCAGACTTGAGTCATCTCTTTCACTCTTGACTTTGGTCAGCAAATTAATTTTTACAATTTTCAAGAAGGTTAACATAAATCCAATCCATTTTTCATATTTTTATATCATCTTACGAAACCTATCATCTTAAAAAACAACTTGAGTTCTGACTGATAGATTTGCAAATACAATGTACACAAAGCTGTCCAAAAATTTGCTTACATTATATTAGTAAGTAAACATCAATGTCTTCAGACTGTCTCTATTACACATGGCATTCATTCCCTTTCTCTCGAGCAACACAGAAAGTCATGATCTCATCCAAGTGCACATTGTATACACATTTCTCTCACTTTCGAACATATAAATGGTCATGTACACATTCATACAAAACCAACTTGTTATCAAACAAATACAAAAAAAAATTTGCTATAGATGAAGCTGGTCTGGAGAGAGTTTGACAGGATTATCTTCCCTTACACTTCAGAAGAAACAGTATGGTCATGATTCCACAAACTTGAAACCCTTTTTCTTTAAGTCTTCTTTAGCTTCTTCAATTTGCTGCAATAGAAATTTATAAGAAAATATGAAATATTTTTTTCTAGATCCTGCGACATCTATTGTAGTCATACCAAAACAACAAATATGTTGTGTGTTACAGAAGTGATTTCTTGACATGGTTGATTCCGATATATGGTGAAATTCACCTAACGGTAAGTAAGATCAAAGAATTAAAATGAGAATATAAAAATTTTACACAATAACATGTTCTTTCACACTGAATTTTAAACTTTTTATGCAAATATTACTTATGTTTCCTGTCTACTTCATTCCTTTTTGTCTTTTGTTTCCTTCTTTTTTGTTTTTTTTTCTTATTGCAACAGGCTTTAAAATTGCTATAATGACCTTTGGCTGTTCAACAACATATGAGAAGAAATAGGTAAAGCAATGAAGGAAAGCAGATAATTGAAGAAGGAAATGGGAAGGAGGTTTAATAGACTTGTAAGGGTAATTAAAAGAAAATTAAGGTTTGATTGTTTCTCCAAATCATTTTGTTGACTTATACATCAAATAAATATTAATCATAATAACCTCATGGGTTGTATGGTTCCCAGGTTATTTAGATAATTCTGTGACCTTCTCACTTGAAAATAAATCATTGAAATATTTCATTATTCTACACCAGAAGAATTTTTTCAATCTTTAATTCTACTTTGATTATCAAATGCATTAGTTGTCTGCATTGCTCACTTTGTCAAACTTTCAGATAATTAAGACAAAATCACTTTCACTTTAGTTAAGGAAATACATACATTACAATGTACTTTCTACTCCAACTATTAATTCATTTAGAAAATTTGTTGAGTTTATAAAATAAACACACCAACCTGTTGTAATTCTTTTGAAGCATCAACACAATCGTTGAATGTAGCCACTCTGTATCCTATCACAGCTAGAGAGACACACTGCAACAGTATATCAGGATAAACCAATAAGATTGTGTAATTATGTAAAACCTGTGTTTTTTTTAGGTAAACAAAAACCACAACATGTACTTCAGTTGTTGTGGTATTTAATTTTTAAACTTTTTAATCAAAAACCATTTTCATCAATTATCATGTAAAAAAAACAGATATTGCCTTAGTGGCATGTTCTTCACAATAATTAAATATCCATGATATTTGTATTTCTCATTCCAATAATATCTCAAACAAATTATTATCAAACAAATACTTACTGCAAAACCTATTAATAAATACAATGGGAGCTGAAAAGAAATTTAAAAAAACCATCAAACTACATAAACATAAAAGTAAAACAGGTGATGTTTACATTAGTTCAATAACACACTTCTAAGTCAAGATTTCTAGATGTTTACACTAGTTCAGTAACACACACTATAGTCAAGACTTCTAAAAATATCAAAATTTTCAATCCCAATGTTGTGAAAAATAAAAATGATCTCTCAAAGCACATCACATTTAACAGTATTAGTTTACATTTAATAGTTTACTAACTCACATTTGAAAGACATATCTCCTGTTTGTAGCGAGATATGACAATATTACACTCTGTACCCAGTCAGAACAATGTCCTGAGTCTATTTACTTTGTTAGTATACAATATAAATAGTAATACTATTTGCCCTGACAGTATCACATCTATAAAGGTACTCAAAGGTACCATACACAATTACCTTACTATTGTCTTAGCTGTTGTATCAATGTACAATATCATTACAGGTTTTCACAGCAGCAAAGATTGCTACTGTATAAATATAAAATATCATTACAGATTTTTACAGCAGCTAAGATTCCTACTGTATATATAGCAGCTAAGATCCCTACTGTATGAATTTACAATATCATTACAGGTTTTTACAGCAGCAAAGATTACTGCTGTATAAATATACAATATCATTACAGGTTTTTTTTATAGCAGCTAAGATTATGGTGAAGTTGTGACTTGTATCTGTGTAACATAGAATGTTATGTTTCTACCTACTGTATATCTATGTGTAGATATAAGATATCCTTAAGGTAAGTACCCAGACATAATAATGTCCTTCTGCTTGATGTACACTTACAAACAATATAAGATCTTTGTGTGTTGTAGAAAAGTCTGTTTCTACATAGTTCAGCACCAGACTCAGCCACACAGCCAAGAAAGTTCCTACCCCAAACAGCCACTGGAAAAGCTTGGGTATCTGAAAGGAAAAGAATACAGTTATAGAATAAGATACCAATCAGTGTTAATTGTTTTTGTTGATCAGTTGTGATTTCATATTGTCATGGAAGGAAAGACAATAGCAGACAAACCAATGAATAAAGTTGAAGCACAAAGAATTTCTCTTAAAACACATGGTAATAACTTTCTTTCAAGTCAAAAGAATGCCAAAATAATTCAGGCAAGTAGTATATTACATACTTTGTAACCATCATTGAACATAGTCTCAGTAAAGCACAGTATGTACGCCATAGTATAAATTATATATCAAAATGTCTGATATGGTGCCTACATCGACTTTAATATCTATACTAGTATTTAAGTCCATTGTATTAACAATGATGAATGTATAAATTGACAACTGCTTGACAGCAGCACATCTAAAAGTTAATTTCAGAATGTTTGACAACTAAGAAATGAGTGTTTCATAATTTGTTCATATCAGCCTCATACAGCATGCATGGGATCAAGTCCTTCGTAGAGCATTTCAGCTCCCATCGGTTGTCATGCTTACCACAATTCCATCTTACAAGAGTGAAACAAATAGAGGTAACTCTTTGATGTATCTATAATACACCAATTGAATTAAATTTGAAATAGCCAATGATAGTTAGCTCATTGATCTGTCTGGTCTGGTGCACTACTAGCTAACCAGAAACCTGTACCCTAAATTTTGTGCACTAATAGTGTAAAAGGTTACCAGTTAAAAGGTCATTTGTGCATTATATATCAGAGATAGACTGACTAAGTGTGTTTGGTTCAACTACATGTGTGTGTAAATATCTGGCAGGTGTCTTTTTTTTTGACAAATTCATTCACTCATGCACATGTTCTTATGAGTTGTGATAAGTGGTAACTTTCAAATTCATCTCTGAGTGTAAGGAAAAAAATCTCCACATCTGAAAAAAAAATCCACACCAGTCACCTCCTGCAACATGTAGTGGGAAAATATGTATTAAACATAGAGATGAAATTTCAATACCAGGTATTATCTTTTTGTGTCAAATTTTGAAGTGAAGTGTTCATCGTTCTTTCTCAATAGTGAGATATCTTATGTGTCTCATTTGAGTATATTTTTGTTTTGTGTGTCTAACCTTTGAAAAGAAGTGTAAAAACTTCGATAATTAATTGATGATATGATTTAATCCTGGGTCATATTACAGAGAAAATGACCAATCTTACTTTACTAGGCTTATTGCTAATATCGTTGATGTTAGATACAAAGACAAATAGATCGGATCTTAAGAGTTCGACATCTAAACAGCTGTTATGATGCTTGATACAGTAACAGCTCTATAACAAAATATGTAAAACGTGACCGACTGTTTAGCATGGCAAAATGACAATTAGCTATCTTACACCATGTTGCGACTTGCAAAATGCATGTCAAATGTAAATATTCAAGCAATTTCAAAATAACATTGATAAAACTTACCCCAGACATTGCAATTTGAAAGCTTTAAGATGACAGGAATGGTCTAAAATGAAAGTAGATTTTCAGCCAAATGCTAGCTCCACGTCGTTGTTTGCGTCATGCCGGTGCTACATATTCTGTGTCATTTTTCTGCTTGTAATGAAGGTGTATATCTCCTTCAATAACAAGCGTTTGCATGACCATTTTAATTAAGTAACCTTTCGATGGAAAGAAGAAGGTCGTCAACGTGAATCTGATTTTGACGAAAAATGGAAGATTACGCCAGAGATCCATGGTAAATTACATGCAAGAAGTAACAATTTTGTATATATTTCGACACTGTGTTGTTTCCACACAGTCTTTATCTAATTTTAATCGGTAAAATTAAATGCGAACACATTGACCACATGGTTACATCAGACCATGTGCTTGGTTGTGTGAAAAATGGTTAAGCTTACTTGACATATCTTCAGTTCCTAGTTGAAAACGATACATTTTCGATGTAATATCGAGTATTATATTGGGTGTATTGATTTAATTTCATACTTCATTCATGAAGTGATCTTTGAAACCATTTCACTTCGTAATGTAAAATATTATGTAAGTATTGTGGGGAAGGTCGTCACCAATGCACGTCTAAATATCCTAATAATGCCCCAAAATAACCAAATGTTAGTTAATTATACTATAATATCAATTACTCATTGCAAATAATCAAATAACTTAATTGAATGAATTGTATTTTCTACGAATTATTGATTTTGTGCTGGGTGGTTACCCCAAACCACTCAACCCTAAACAAATACTAGCTCTATGATATAATATCTATTTATAATTGTAAATTATCGAATATCTTAATTAAGTATATTGTATTTTTATTGAAAAACTGTGGCTTTGTGCTGGATTGTTGCCCTGCCCTACCCAATACTACATTATACCACCAAAATATGACAAAATTAAAATGATTTTGTTTTGATGTAAACTAAGATATTTTAATAATCAGATATCACACTTAAACTTCTGATATTGATTCTTAGAAATTCAATGACTTCATGCAGAATAAAGGGGCGTAAATCGAATAAGGGATATGTATTTGGTTGCATGTGACAGTATGCAGTACCAATATTCTGCAAAAATATAATCGTTCAGAAGAATTATGTTTTTGTAATTATTAAATGCAGTAAGTAAAAATCTGATTGTATTGAAATAGAAAACTATTCAACTGACTAGTGAACTTTTTCAGTTACATAAACAAATTCAGTAATTTACAGGGTCATGGTCTATAATATTGAACCTTAAGCTTCCCAGTAATGTTTTTAAATTCACCACCAGTAAATAGTGCTTAAATATCCACCTGTTGAAGTTAAATCCACACTGCGATAACCAGAATGCTAATATAAGGTAACTGAATGTCTTGAGCTTGTAGTTCCATAGTGTACCTGTAGCATTTTCAAAATTCATTGAATTATACCTCCAGAAGTTAAACAAAATTTATATTATAACAATATTAGTCTGTCACCTACTTAAAGTCAATTTTAGCATTGACCAATAGCAATGTACTACTATTTATGCTGCCAAAGAAATTTTACATCAGTTTGGTAGAAGATTATTTAGACAATATAAGGAACATCTCCTTTGCTTTCCTTGCAGTCCTTGGAGGATCATGGATGATTGTGGAGGTGCTTTCTCTATCGGAATTATTGGAGGTTCAATTTTTCATGGTTTCTCAGGATATAGAAACGCTGCAAAAATACCAGTATGTATTGCTAAAATTCTTTCGTTATGATTTACTGAATCGTTTGATTACATAGTCATTTGAGTTTACAAATCTATATTTTTGTAACAAGCAGCAATAAGACATTTCCATTAAAAGAAAAATAAGAAAGATACATCAATTTTGTCACTTTTATAGTTTAATTGACAAAAATACAAGGAAAAACATAATATTGTTGGAAAGTAATTGATATTAGCAACAAAGGTTAAATGTGTATTTGCATTAAAAGCAATAACTGAGAAATTGTTTATTAGTGTTTCATTCTTAAAACTATATATGAATATTTTATTATTATTATTGTTAAAAAGTATGTGACGAAAAAATATTATTAAAAATCAATTATCTTCCAATTTTCCTATTTATCTATTGTTTTGCAGGGCAAATGGAACAGACTGACTGGGATGGTACACAACGTAAGGACAAAATCTCCAATCACAGGAGGTACTTATTTTTATTTCATGACTTATGTATAAGATATGATAAAATAGGTTTTACAGGGCAAAATGTTAAATCATACTTTTATTCCTGTGTTATGCAGCTGGTTACATGTAACCAGACTGCAAAAAATTCATCAGTGTTGCATTACAGTAATATGTTTGCCCAGTTTTAAAGCTGGAATAGAGACTTTGATTTAGGTAGCAATGAAAATCAAGTAGATGGGAACATTGCAATTTTTTTGTTTCTGATTTCAAAACTGAAACTTTGGTGTTCAGAACTTTTGTTATTCAGCCAACAATTAGGCAGAAAATAAATTAACCATGATTTGAATTTGTCTATTTTCTTTTGGGAAATTTAAAAATAATATTTATCTTGGTTGAATTTCTGCAAGTTCTGCAATAGATATAATTAATTAATTGTTGTAACAAGACAACAGGGTTTTATTACAGCATGAGATAGGATTATTTTGTCTTTATTCTGCAGTATCTTTTTTCCAAAAAATCAGATAATTTCCTGTGGAAATTTGAGAAAAGGCTCTTTAAAAAATACACTCAAAGGAGTGACATTAGGTGTTTTCTTACACGTCCTACAATTTGTTTAGATATCTGAAGTACTTGTGTAACAAGTTAGCAGGTTTCATCATATAACTGGAATGCTCTGCCAAGTAATACATGTATGTCATAGTTATCATGATATATATATGTATGATAACTTTTGTGAAACCACAACTAAAGACATCACCTTGCTTTCTTGGCAGTGATAAAAATTTGCAGTTTGACTTTTTTTTATTTTCCCAAAAAATTTAGTTTTGTGATAAGTTCTATATTATACAAGTGTTCAAATCATGTTGAACTGATGAATCTTGTCCTGTAACTTTATGTGTCAATGGCTGGAGAAGGTGTCTGTTAATATGGTTGAAATATAGGAATTTTTATCACTGAGGTTGTAACACTTTCACCTGTGAATCTGACCCAATAGGGTTGCTAGGTCAGCAGTAATATTGTTGATCAATTAAGTAGCTGCCTGGTGCAATACTTCAGGGAGGTCTGGTATCATATCTGGTCTAATGGTAAAACTACAAATCACTATTTCAATGAGTAACAATGTCACATTAAATTACTGAACTGTTAAGAAAGTCGATAAACACAAGTGTGAGATATGGATAGGTCATGCTGTTTCTTGATGTCTTTTAAAATATCATTTTTTTTTGCAGGTAACTTTGCTATTTGGGGAGGATTATTTTCTGGAATTGATTGCCTATTGGTTTACTTTCGTGGGAAGGAAGATTACATCAATTCGATCGCTAGCGGAGCTGCCACAGGAGGAATTCTATCTATACGAAGTGAGTATGAAAATCGTTTGTAATAGACAGAGAGGTATAATGATGTGGAGGTAACATTCTGTGAAAGAGGTAGATTTGGTAGTCATTATTTGAATGTTATGAAGTGAATGGTATGAGGAGCTGGTGTAGTGCCATAGTGAAAAATTCCTTGTGAAAACATGTTGTAAGAAACTAGATTTTGCTAGATTTCAGGGTTTTCCATAACCGACTACTTTGATCATTTGGCCGCCTACACCAATCCAGTTCCGTAATAATGTTCCGTACACGACTACACGTACACGGCAGGCCAGCCTCCTACTTTCACTACACAGCCTACTACTAACAAATTTATGGAAAACCCTGAGATTGAGAATTCAGATTTAGAGCAGTATTATTTTCTGTGTTCAGTGTGTTAATAGTTTGACATGTTAGAAAGAATGACACATTCATACTTGTAGACTCTTTGTTGATTAAGTTCATTTATGTTTAGCAATTTCTTTTGTTAAATGGATGATTATCAGATCTTGTTGAGTACGAAGATTTCTTCATTGTTAATGCTTGATTATTTTAGATGGTCCGTATCAGATGATGGCATCAGCTGCAATTGGTAAGTACATATAATGTATTGAATATTGAGCAATTTTCACTTACTGGTAGTCTGAACTCTGTAAAAGTTAAGATACATTTGTACCTGGTTCGTTGTAAATCAATTTGTATCCATCTGTAACATGTCAGCCATTTAGGTCATGAATCAAATTTACAGACTGAATAGACATGAATAAGAAATAATACTTTATGAAATTATTGACCTTTTTTTGTTTGCAACAAACTGCTCTACATTTCAAGATTACCTCCCTTTACAGGTGGTTTATTACTGGGTATGATAGAAGGAGTGGGAATCTTCATCACTTATATAACTGCTTCTCAGTTTGATCCTGGTAAGTCTCATATCACACCTTTTGGTATAAATATCAACCTTGCGCTGTTGATGTAACACAATTTCATTGCTGCATATTAAGCTTCGTCACATGCTATCTTGATAATCTGCTTTGTTTGAGACTTTGTCTATTTGTAATTCAAAATGGAGTTCTTTTGGCATGTTTTAACTTTTAAAGAATTTTTCAATTCTTGACATTAAAATGATCCACTGTAGCATTAAGTAAATTAAATACAAAAATGTAAAAAAAATAATTAAGTCAATAAAAAAGCTAAAAAAAAAAGCATTAAGTAAGATTCGGTATGTATTCTTAGATTATTTCCGATATAAAACCAGACTCTTATGTAGATTAAGATGATCACAAAGCTTTTTGTTTCGTCAACAGCTAACAGACAGATGATGGAGGACCCAAACCAGCTCCCAGAAAAATCAGTAGGAAACACGAACACAAATATGTATGGTATGGCTTCATATCAATGATTTCTATCTTTAGGGTCGTTAAAAAGAATGTGATAAAGACTTTGGTAGGATCAATGCTTTTTCTCAAGGGCAGACATTAAGCTGACTTATAAATATCACCCTTCATGGACATGTACTGTTCTCATGGATAGATAGGTTAACCCTTCATGGACGAATATCACTCTTCACGGACAAATATTACCCACAAGGATGAATATCACCCTCATGGAGAGATATCATTCCTGTCGATCACAATCATCCTCATATATTCTTTAGCGAGTATTTACATTATGGGAATGCATTGCCCTCATGGACTCACCTCATTGTGCTGAGTGGTTGATATAGAGAAGTGAAAAATGAAAGTTGTGTCTTTATGGTATATAGCATCCGTGGTTGATGTAACACCGGCACGTATCAGACTCAATGGATACATGTTTGTGACAGGTCAGTGAGCTGCTACAGAGACCTGGTACTTTGTGTGACAATGTTTAGACCTGTATAAAACATTTGCTTACTAGTATATGTGATGTACTCAACGGTCAAGCAATGGTCATCAGTCAAGCAGTATCTATCACTATTAAATACTGTTTGCCTCTGTTAATTTTATTGATATTTCAAGATAAAAACATACTTTACATTCATAGTTGACAACATATTGTTAACTTGGGTAGGGCTATGAAAAAAATGACCATTCAACAATTATTAGTAAATGTTTCTCTTGCTGAATACAGCTCAGAAAAATGATGGATACCCGCCAGGTTGACCCGGAGTGAATGTGGCTTTCCCAGATCTGAACAAGGTACTGCTAGTCCCGGTATAAAAGATTGATAGTTGATATGAGAAGTTGTTGTTTGTCATGTAGATTGTTGTTATCTACTTCATCTTGTGAATTTTTGGTCTTGAAGCTCTGCATTGAGAGTTGCATGATAATACAAACCCAATTTTGGCTATGGATGATATGAGACTCAACTTCTGATAGCTTTCAAACTATGTATTTACCAATGAAGAAAGATCCCCTATACCTCAGTAGACCTGCACTAAGCTGGTCGTTTAAAAAATAAGAAATAACTTTAAAAATAAATCACAGTGTTAAAAGTCTAAAGTCTAGCAGCCATACATCACAATGTGGGTTTAAGATCCTACGTCTTTGTTACCACCTACCGAGGTAGATTTTTTGCTACATACACACTGTAATAGGAGTACATTATTGCAGGTCACTCTTTGTCTTTCTTTTCGGTCCTTCTCATTTCTCCATCACCGCCTCAAATACATTTACTCTATAAGTAATCAGACTTCTGTTTATATATACGGCCTTTGTTGCTATAAGAGTCTTGAATCAAGGATAATTACACAGTGTAGGTGACCGAATACTCACCAACTTTATTGTTAATAACTTACTTGCCAATTTCTAGTTTTCTGTTTAGAAGTGTTCAGTTAATTGAACTTTTTACTTTGGGGATATTAACGAAAGTGTTTGAATTAGATTTGTATATCATAGCCATAACTACAGGTTAAGTTTTTTTCTGAAGGGTGGCAATATTTAATCCAATTTTACATATTCCAAAATTGTTAGCAGTTGACAGCAATTATAAAAATGTATAGCCAAAAAAGGCAGGATTTTTGTTGCATAAGAATATCACAGACTTAAATGTCTGGATGATTTTATTTGATTTTATGAACTTTGTTGTTGCAGTGGTGAATGTATTGATGCGCATAACTACAATGTATAGGTGTGTGTGTGTGTGTGTGTGTGTGTGTGTGTGTGTGTGGAGAGATTATAGATAGAATGGAGTGTTAAGAGAGTTAGAATTATTTGTATTAAGTATATTATTTACACAATTTCTCTATGTTCTAGTTTCATGGCATTCAACAGCTTGTTATATATAAATAATGGTTGTTTACGAGCTGTGGAGATAGAGTATATCATTTTTATGTTGCCATTTTTGTATCAAATTCTTCTATATTGATCCTTTTAGTCATAAGTGATATTGGACTGTCAAGATCACGATATGATAATTGGATGGTCAAGGTCACTATTATTCATTCATGTGAGACTTAATTTTATAAACCGATCCTTTTGATAGCTAAGTTACAGAATCGCACAAGAGAAAGGATCATTTGGTTAAATTTGCAAGACTAATGATTTTACAATATTTGTTTTGATTGACGCCTTGTGCATATACAAGTCTTACAGTTTGTATGATAATGTGTTTGCATGATATTTTGTCATTGAAGTTGTGAAAAACTAGTCACAGCTTTAAAATTATGATCACCATTATGAAAATGGTTAATGTTCCACCGAGAATGGTGGAATTAACATAGAAATAGTGTGGGTTCCTCATTTGTCATACATGTGTGGTTTTCCACCATTTTATTGTATCATACAGAAATATATGCCAGTCAAATGATTCAAGGAATGCCGATATTGGCATGATCAGTATTTCTTAGGAATGAGAGCTGGGTACATATATAAATATATATATATGTGGCTGTGTGATATATCAGGTTTGAGAAAAATGAAAATAAAAAAAAAAAATATCTGCACTAGCGTCCTGTTTTGTTTGATGTAATATTATGATTAGAATCACTTTGTATGGACTAAGACCATACTTTCATGACCTTATTGATAACCAGATAAGATCAGTGTAATCTACTTATTAAAACTATAAGTGTAATCGTGTATCATGGAACCAATTTAGATTTTTACATTTGAAGGTCTTTGCCATTTTTTCTCCAGACCTATTGAAGAAATCATTATAAAACTTCATCAGTATAACTCTTGTTCTGGTTCTTGTCATTTGCCAGTTTGGATTATGAACTGCTAATGAAGATTAACATTAGGGTCCATTTCTGACTTTGATATGAATTTCGTCCCATTTGATTGAAGAAATGCTTATGTTGACTTCCTGAAGTTTGGGAACAAGTAGATTATGGCTTCTTGCATGTCGTTTTGAGGAGGATGTCATTGATAAGGGATGCCAGTAACCATTATGAAATTAATCGTTTCAATTCTAATTTATTACTGGTACCGGGTAGTCTCTAAGAACTTCAGATTTCTGCTTGAAATTCTTGCATGTCAATGGAAGATGTCTTCAAATTTTCGCATTTGATAGAGAGGGATCTTCTTAAAATTCTCATTAATAATTGGAAGGGATTTTCAATATCTCACTAGGATTGTGAGGAATCTCGGAATTCTCACACGATTGGATCTTCTTGAAATTCTAAATTATGATTGGAATGGTTTGTGAATTTTCACATATGGGTGGGAGATATCTTTTTAAAATTCTCACAAATGAATGGAGGTGGTCTAAAAATGATCACTTATGTGATAGGGAGGGATCTTCTTAAAATTTTCACATGCAATTAGGAGGAATCTTCTTTAAATTCACAAATTTGATCTTAATGGATCTTCATTGTGCCAGCTATATTTCAGTTGGATACTGATATTGAAAATGACACTGATTAATTGTAATTGTAGACAAGAGCCTACTGTTTATTTCCATTTCTTAAAAACCTTGGTGCTTTCTCAAATTTCTTCTTTAGTGTGGTATAAATAAGATATCTTATTAATTATACGAGATATGTGGTATATCCAAGACAGATAATTGATCACCTATATGAGATACATTTTATAACTCAAATGAAATATCGGCCGACATCACTCCTTGAATAAATCATTAAATGACTTGCCATGAATAACCTGTTACCAGAGACGACATGCAACAAACGTACTATTTTTCAAAAACTTACAAAAAAACTGCAAAAGTATTTCAAACAAACATCCGATGATCATTAACATAATTGTTACATGTACATGTATCTGAATTTTCATCTCTTGTCTTAATTCAACATTTGTAGGTACTGTATAGTGTTAATTCGTTTGTATATGTTACCCTCACTTGATGAAATGGTTTTTGACAGAGAACTTCGCTATAAATTTACATAACATAGTGAAACACTGGTATATTTGATATGTTTGATTAAATAGTAAAAATATCACTACAAAATCTATCACTTTTCACGACGTTCACCTTCACATAGACTTGGCATGTGATCCCAACCCACGGACCATAATATATGTATAATACATGGGTAGGGAATTTGTGCCAAGTCCCTGTGTTCACCGTCGTAAACATTCCGAAACAAAAATAGCATCAAATTAGACATTGAACTTTTCACTCCTATTTCTATTTTAATCAACCAGATAACAATTCTGATGTGATGCGATGCTCTATTTTTAAGGTACATAGATCTCAATAATGCTGATAAATTTTATTTTCACTGACCGATTTAATCAAGGTTAAATGTCATATTGATAAAAAAAAGACAATACATTATGTTATCATATATTTACATCCACTTTGATATAATTTGGATGTCAGATGTCTGGTACTGTCGACATAAATTTGAAAATATTTGCCTGACAAAAAAACTCAGTTTTTAAAGATCGGTGTATATAGTATGATAGCAAATAGAAAACACCTTTGCTGTTGTAATTTTTTTCATTTCATTCCTGACTAAACTAATTTATATGTATAATACCACCTTCTGTTCAGCTTCTGATGAGTGTCTAAAACATATCCATTATCACTGTGAAAACTTAAAACCTAAAACCCCCAGAAAATTTTATCTTAATCTTATACTTGACAAAATCAGTTACAATTTTCAATAGACAATGGTGATTAACATCACTAATTGCAAACTGATGATTTAATTAAGAAAGATTTAACCAAGAAATTTCCGAAGTAATTTCACTTTCTTGTGTATTTACGTTAGACATATAGTAATAATATGCCTGTATCAGTATATGATAGGGGGACATATTTACGAACATAGGTATTGTGTAATGTGTTATCGGTTTCAGATATAGATAATACGGGCTGTATCTCGGCCCAGATATGATTTGTTTATCTGGTGTAACTTCAATCACACACAAGTTTGTCCTGTACAGTAGTCAATCCATATAATGAAAGAGAACATTAAGGGTATTTTCCTTTTTCAATTAAGTTTTCTTCACCAACATTACTTTATATAAACTTGTTAATTTCGTTTTAAGTTACCTTGACACCTTGGTACACTGTTATTAACGTCAAATATTTTCATTGTTTCAATGACACGATATTTTATCATTAAAATCGCTGATTACGTCTTATGTTACCACCATTTTATGACAAAATGTAATTACGGATAGTTTTCCATACACTTAAATCAACATAAGCAATTATCATCTTTGTCAATTTGGTTCTCCGAGGATTTGGTACCTTTCGTGAGTTATGGTATCAGATAATTGGTCCTGTTTGTACGGAGGCGACTAACAGATAGGAAACTATAAAATATAGTGTGTCTTGCTTCATAACACCACACAATCCTTGTTTCACCGGATATTTCTATCCAGAAGATGTAGATTAGTACTGACCCCGAAAGCAACAATGTATCTGAACTGATAAACCTGTGTCTACCTTTGTCTATAAACGACATCAGTAAGATATCGTAGATAATAACTCAAAGCATGGAATGAAGTACTCGGCAATTTGCTGTGTCATGCAAAACAGGAATCGGACAGTTTATAATTATTTGAAATATAGAACAGGCTTGTGTTTAAATAATATAAACTATGGGAGAAAGAAACAGTAATCGTTGAGAGAATAATAGTTTTCATCCAGATTTTCCTGAACCTTTATATATAGCGCCGTCAGTGAACTGGGCAATCTGAAATACAGTCCATTAACAGAAGCGAGGAAGAATTGGTGCTGAATGTATTTAAATGCTTATCCCCAGGTCAACAGAGATGTCCATGGACCATGATCAAAAATTAAAATGAAAAAAGATGAAAAAATTTTTGAATTTGATTGAAAATAAAGTTTCAAAATAAAAAAACAAGAAAAATGATTTTTAGGTTTTTCAAAATTATTTGTGTACACTAAAAACATAGACCAGCTATATAGAGACACTGACATATAATCTTAGACATCGACAAATCACTCCACAATAAACGGTTATGTCATAATGCCACAGAGGTAAGACATTCTGAGATAAAGTTTCGCTATCAAATTGAATTGTGCCATGTCCTTGCATATGTTGGTGAGTTTGTTTTCCAATAGAACGTCTTCCTTAACCTCCAACCAAAATCACGTGGCTTACCATTTTTTCCAAGATTTAAGGAATATTTTAAAAATAATTTCTAAGAAATTTACATGTTTGTAAATAAAATTGCAATACATTGCTCTCCCCTTGCCTGTATGGAAGCTTCCGCGAGGGTGTTCTGCACCGATACCAGTATTTGAAGTGACACAAGAAAAGTTATCAGAAATAATTCTACTGGGTGATTTAGACTCACTGTGATAGAAATTGGCATTTAATAATGTACATTAATTATCTAAAAAAAAAAAAAAAAAAAGAATAAATAAAAAATGTGTTTATTAAACAAATTAAACAATAGACCCCGGTTGCAACAAAATTAAAATCACATTGTTAAACATTTCTGTACCACCAGAAAGTGCTTGTCACAAGGAAAGCACATGCCAAATATCTAAGCCCTACCTCTTACGGTGCAATAATTACAACAAGATTAAAGTAGACCAAAGATAGAAATAAACAGCACAAAAACAATTACCATGGTACCCTCCGATCTTTCGATCTGAGAGGCATACAAAAAATGAGGATCCCTCCTACCCGCCCACGTTGAACACCTCTTGGGCGGGTAACTGCTTTGTAGCAGAATTCAATACATATATATGTTTAGGATGGAAAAACAAGCTTAAAGCGGGTATTACTTATGTTCTTGAAACTTGTATCCAATCCATTTGCGTATTTTGTCAATCAAAAGCATAAATCTGATGATATTTTCAGGTAATACATTATGAAAATCATAACATGTTTGTGCAATGAAAAGTACTACGTTATAATCAGGATCAATGTGTCGATATCATTATTTTGATTAATTGACATTTCTAAACCAATCAATTTAAACATGCTTGGCTACAAGTGGTGCATTTGCATAAGATGCTTAATAAATAAATAAATAAATAAATAAATAAAATGAATGAATATATAAATATATACACAAACGAATCGATAATAATTACAGATTTGTGCAGTGTTCTATACATACATTTGTAGTTAAAATAGACAATACATGACACCAACACAAGCAGATATTTTCCCATCCAGCCATACGATCAAATATATGATATTAAGTTTCAGCTAATTATGGCGATATTTAAGAAAATACGCATGTATCCACATTTACTTAGCTGGTGAGGAGCGGTAAGTGTTTGTGTTGTTCATGAAATGCATTTTTAATCGTTACTGGTAGTATCATTCGGATATTGCTGTCCAAACTATACACTAAGCGCTTTTTTTGGCTGTTGTTGGTATTCATTGCTTGTTTGCAAAATCGATTTTTAAAATAAAAAAGGTGGTAATAACACATTGATGTAAATTAATGCACTAATTCACTAGTTTCTTTTTTTATATCACCCGAATCTGTTAGTCCTGTGAGAAATCATTTTTATCAATGTTTCACTCTCGTATTGTTTTAAAACCTGGATTTGTCTTCAGTTGATTTGTGGATCTTGTTTCATAGAGTTTTCTTGGTGGCTGAACCATTCATTTCCTTGTGTTTTTCCGAATCTTCGAAGTTCCAGTCAACAGGGACAATCATCTGCTGTGTCTTCTTGTAAGTCCAATATGGCGTCATGAGGAACGTGACAAGAACCAGCTGAGTGTAAAGGGATAGAAACATGGCGGTAGGCATGGCGGACCAGACTCGTTCCCAGTGTTGATAGGACAAATACCATATGTAGCATTCTACTACAGATCGTAAATGGAAGGTGTGTACCAAAATGAATTGGTTTGCCTTCCATAGGAACGTGTGCGCCTTTCCAGCCTTTAGGAGTGTCCAACAGATGGCAGAAAAAGGCGTACTCATCTCCAACAGGAGACCTCTTGTAGCAAAATAATGGGTGCTTTCCAAGTACATTACCAAGAAAAAACCAACTAAAGCCAACCAGTGATGTATATTTAACATGATGCTGGCTTTTTTGTAAACAAGGTCTGATATGAGTAAAGTTCCACATTCAAACACAAAAAATCCCAGACTGGTAGCTAATGCAAAATAGCTGGTCGGAGTAGTAGAAAAAACCGGATCTTTCACAAGTTCTGTGTCGAAGAATATAGCCCATAATCCTATGGTAGTACAAAAAATTCCATATATTCCACGCACTACAGCAAGATTCCAAAAGATCTTTTCCTTTTGCTTCAGGTTATTATAGGTTTTTGTCCAAGAGCCGAAGATGGCGGATAGAAGGTACACAGTTACAAAAAAGATGAAAGATACACATATAAAGAATAGTTTTGTCGAGATCTTTTGGTAATCCTCTTCCTTACGAAAGGGGACTACATTTTCTATCAAACCCATAGTATCGACAGCACTAGATACAGCAACTATCATAACGCGGTTGTCATCTTAGTCTTGTGGAGCCGTGGTTTAACAATGAGACTACATTCTTGTATAATCTTTATTTATATGAAAATGCGTGCATTTGACATGTGAGTGTTGAGTTTGCTATATTGAATCTGCTGGACTGGTATCTAAATCAAACATCAAAATCACGCCGGAGATGCTACAATTGACCGAAGGTCACGTGTTTATCTCGTCTTGTCCACTCCCTTCACGAATGTTACTTGGTTCTGTATCGACATACCACAAGTGCTGACATGCATCTAGATACCTATTTAACGTTGTTTCCGTGTCTTTTAACGTTATTATTTTTTTTTCGTTGATATCTGAAAAGATTATGGAGACAGCCTATTTAGTTGGTTGTTCATTATTGGCGTCACCTCTTCAAGTCTATACATGTACATACAATCAAATACTAACATTCATACATTTAAAATCTTTGTTATTGATCTACAATATCAATCGCGAATTAAACCACAAGAAGGATTTAATTACAATATAATGAAATTCAATGTAGAAAATAATAAGTATTTGCACTTATTGATTTGAACAAAACAAAACTCGGGAAATCAGCTAAAATGGTTATACCGCGAATAACTAAGTAGAGTTACTCGTGCTTAGCAGTGAACAAGCAGAAATCGGGAAATCAGCTAAAATGGTTATACCGCGAATAACGAAGTAGAGTTACTCGTGCTTGGCAGTAATGCGAGCAACAAGGAACAATACAAGGGTAACTGAATTAAAATGTAATATCCAACTGCTTTGGAAATATTTACAAGGTTGATTATATAGTGATAATGAGGTAGAATACACTTCATTAACAACTATTAAAATAAGTTTAAATCAATATGAAGTATTTAAGACAAAGGTAAATTGATAAATGTAAAATAAAATATGGTTTAATGGACATAATAAAATATTTACAATGTAGATTTGAATTGTGATACATAAGAGCTTAAAGAAAGTCACTTTGTTTACATCAGAAATGACAACATCCGGTTTACATATTTACTTCCGGTTTGAACATGAACTTCCGGTTTTAGCATGAACTTCCAGTTTATAACAAGTGAGTGTAATCACAAATGTCAGGAATGATTAATTATAAAATATGAACCTGGCAAGTAAATATAGCGAAAACATCAGCAATGGATATGTCTTAAAATCAAGTATTTATCTTCGAAAAATATCTATGAGCTATAAGTCAGATACTATCAGTAGAATTATACTCAATATGGAAGGTATGCTTACTTGTGCTAACGATACTTTAGCCATAATTTTGTAATCAATAATTCAATGGTTATGATTTCTGCAAATTACAATCGATCGATCAAGATGAGGTAAAGGTACCGAACTTTTGATACAAGTAAATTTTATACAAAAGGGTACATATACTGTTAGATTACGGTAACTTGTTTCTTTTATAAAATGAACGTTTAATAAAGATCTTATTTATAGATAAACATATCTTTTGATATAGAATTTATGAGACCTTTGTTTATTAATTTGATTCTTTGAAGTGTTTAAATCTAATTTTGTATATCAAACTTAAAAGAAATCTACCATACCTGATAAGTTTATTAGAAAGTCTAAAGGTTCAAAAAGATTTCAAGAGGGAAACTATAATTCTGAATAAACACCTTATACAAATTAACCTAGTTATTTTCTTATAAAAAGGATGCATAAAAATGAAATCTAGAAGTATCTCACCAGAAAAAATCATGGAGACAGCCTGTTAAGTAGGTTGTTGTTAATTGGTGTCACAGCTTCCAGTGACCAGTGTGACCAAACTTACTCAGGAGTCTCCATAGATTTGATTGGTCAGATCTTGGGACCTTTCACGTTGCTTGGTCAAAACATAGCGTGGGTTCGGAAAAGCAAAAAGTGTTTCCTAGCAGGTTTGTTACATAAGCCTACCTAAGTGCTGTTTGACTGTGACACGGCCGATAATTCTTTAACAAAAGACAAACCGTAGAGTAAAGACTACACCTGGTGTCTATTGTTTACATTGTAGTAATTAAGAAAGTAAATCTAGTTTGCGGGACCTTTTTAGCCTTCAAATAATGCGACTGGGTATAAGTGATACTTAATTTGGGCATTAACATAATTTGGACTCTTACGTATATATATAGCTAAGTGACAGATGTCATGAACTCCCTACATTAATAAAGTTAATTATTTTATAGGAGAAAGGAACACATACAAAATACATGTACTTATAGAGAAATATTGAAATTGATTTGAAATAAAAAAAAAGTTTTATTTGATTTTTACAAGATATCCGTATGCTACCTATAGCAAACCATTACATAAACATTTGTGGTATTTACGATATTTATGTTGATATCACGACAATTTGGACTGGGATTCACGGAAACACAAATTTATATAGGTTGCCAAGAATGCAACTCATGATTTATTTATCGCGTTTATGTTAATTTGTATTTTACTTTAGAAAAGATAAACACAATACATAAATAAATGAAATAACAGCAAGTTATTGATCTCTTTACGTTATACACGTTTTGAGGAAAGGTTGGTCGTAGTGTTATTTCTGTGTAACATGTGACTGCTTATCAGGGATTGCATATGATAGTTTTCCGCTGCCATAATCATTTTAATTGAGTGGAATTAAATTCATTGATTATTTTCCATTATTTGATGTCAAAATAATATCATGATGGTCTCCTGTTAGCATTTAAATCACTTCAAATCTTAATTTTGCTGGCTGCATATTGGCACTTCATTTCGCTCGAATTTCTTTATCTCAGATGGTAAGATGTGATTTTTTGATTTCCATGGAAATATAAAAGTATTCTTAAAAAATCAGAACCATCGGAATAATCTTCACCATATTTAAAGTTTCCAAAACCACAACTACGCAATGTAAATAAAAAAAAATCGAGTTTAATTCTGTTCCGTTTTCTAAAGTATGTCTAGTTATCTGATTGGTTAACGTTAATTATGACGAAATACAAATTTTGCATAATATCTATGTTTGTTTTTGTGGTTATTGATAATCAGTAAATAGTAAAAAATACATATTTTACTGTAAAATAGAAAACTGACTGTACTATATAAACTCTCCATTGTGCATCGGTATACTGTTATTCTGTCTTGTTTCAATAATTTAGGCGTTTAACATCAATGACGAGTCGGGACAAAACAGATGTATGGCGCAGTTCATGGTAAATTTGTTTTGAAATGTACTCGTCGCTCGAGTTTCACTTGTACCATTTATCAGATACAGAAGAACAATATTAGTTCGTCCAATAACGAGTTAGGACACGTGTCTGAAGCAGTATCTCTACTTTCTGCATATGTATACATATATATCATACGTCCCGTACACGTGACGATATGCATACAATTGATCAGTGCTATTAGAGATAAGGGTTAGGGTCAGTATATAGACCACACTTAGGTAGCCAACAATGAAATATACATTCCCTAAAATTTTCTGTAGTCAATGTAAAGAGCACACACACACACCTCACGCACCCTCCCCCTCTACCCACAGTGATGTTTCAGATCAAATTTGGATGAAATTCATTGAAGCATTAAGGAAGAGTAACGTTTTTAATTAAAATGTTAACTGACTTACCCATTTGCGACCCGCCCCTAAGTCCCAAGTTGTCAAATATACTTTCCGAATTTAAGAATAAATTACCCACCCGAATGATATTTAGATAAAATTTGGTTGAAGTTTTTTTTTTCAAGTATTAAGAAAGAGTAGCATTTTGAAGCAAATTTATTGACTAACTTTCTAATTTAGAGCCCCGCAAGCAGGTCCCTAGGGATCTATTCAACTTTCTGAAAATAAGAAATGATAACCCATTTGCAATGGCATTTCAAACCAAATTTGGCTGAATTCTACCCAGGCGTTAACAAGTACTAGAAATTTGAAGCAAAATATTATTTAACTTCCCAATTTGGGGCCCCGCCCCCAAATCCCTGTGGTCGCATCAACGTTCTGAGTTTCAGAAATGATTCCCCACCCTCAATGATGTTTCAGACCAAGTTTGGTTGGAATTCATTCAAGGCTTAGGAAGGAGTAGTGTTTTGAAGCAAGATATTTGCTAATTTCCCCATTTGCTTACGAAGCAAATACAACAGCTTGTATGTTCTTTTGGTAGCCTCTCTAGAAAACTATTTCTATTTTTTCAAGCAAAGCACGAAGTCACAGTTTTGAATACATTGGGAACAGATTAGCAGGTGATGGATACTGAGAAAGAACACTCTTTTTACATTAAGCGAAATTTTCTGAAGGTCAAAAAATAAAACTTCCTATTGGAGTCCATTCGTAATTATATGCTAAAACATTTCCATTAAGTATTAGATAAATGGCCCAAAAATAGTAATTAGGAGTTTTGTGCAAGGTAATTATACTTGATTGACGATATTGCTATGTATTTTTAAAGGAAAATCGAGCAAAGTGGAAAGTTTGTTCTAGGTTGAAGTGTTGTAAAATGAACTGAAATAAACTGTTTACACTTGGTTTTGTTGGTAAAATGAGACCGTCATCTACACTTATAGCAAACGAAAGTAAAATATCAACATTCAAAATGGCGATCATATTCTCTAATTACCACAAAAATTAAATATTCTTAAAACTGCTGAAACAATATTCTACCGAGAATGCCAAAGGCTAGATTTAAATTGGTTTACATATTAAATTAAGAAATCTGGAATCCAATAAGGCTTTTCGATCCTGAAATCTGATTGACCATGTCTGTGGTGATGTATATCGTACAGCAATGTAGTTCTAATTGTCCAAGTCGGCCATACCTAATGTCTAAAAAATGGCGGCTGGTAGCGAAATCTGCTTTATTTGAAGTTTGTCTTCAACCTTTTGACATTTGGATGCAAAGGCTTACTGGTTTTCAAATGCATGTAGTATCCTAAATAGTACAGGGTACTGGCTACCTGGGCACATACTCCATGGTTCTCTGTCCAGCAGGACATAGGCAATAACCATCCTTTATGTGATTAATGGCGTCGGAGCTGTTACGATCCAAACACTGCTCTTATGCCTACAATGTTTCGTGAGTGCCTATAGATCCAGATCTCTTAGTAACCATCATCACTGAGGCACTAATTATGTAACCAGCTGCCAATGATATTTGATATGTGCTACAGGATACTGTCCGAAAATATTCCATGTCTAAATTTGGAAAGTCACAATTTGACAGATAGTGACTTGGCCCTTCTGGTAAGATCTGGCGCGTTTTTCACACGCTGAGTTTAGCTGCTGTGAACACTAAGGCGCTTTCATTTTGGCAGCCAGTGCCCTATCCTTTGCGTCTTGCTCTTGTGCTCTAACCTACATGGTTCCTCATCGGTTCCAATGAGACAAGCTGTTACTATTCTATCGAGTGCCTGGATGGTATCAATGAAATAGTAGGAGGGAAGTTGTGTTTTGAAAAACAGCCATTGCTTGAATCGTCAGTGATATGACTCCACTACCATCTGGATTTAATCATGGATCTATCATGGTTAGCTTGCAGGTCGTCATGTTGAGTCTGTCCAGGCTTCAGACAAGACCATGCGATTCCAAATCTGATACAACGTCCGTAAACCCTCGATCAACAATGACGTTGTCACCTTTCTCCAGGCAGGAGAGACTATTCATGATGTCTTTTGTAAACTTCGCATCATTATTACGTCCATGAAAAGGCCCTACTTCGTCCAGAATGTAACCATTATACAGGGTTATGCTCATGAACTTCAAATAGTTCCGCTTTTCTGACCACACTAGGAGATTCCATGGAGCTTTTGATTAGAACTCCTAAAAATAAAAATATATGTACAGTTATGTATATCATTCGCCCGCTGGCCTTGTAAGATGTTCACGTCCAAGGAACAAAGGTTATTTCTAATGCTATGGGATAAAAAGTTTTCAAAATACTGGAAACTGACATGACATTTTCCAGGGGTGCAGAGAGTGAAGTGAACATAACTCCTCGAGTATTGAAGATGCAGTATTTGTTGACCCTATTTGACCACGTAACCACTATATATAACCTGTCACGATGACATCATTGTAGATATCGCTTTTAAAAAGAAAGACATTTTTTTTTAAAATTTCGTTTCCATATTGTGTTTTTGGCATCATTTCTTTTTAAGAAAAAATGAACAAAAAGACAATTTGTACATTCCTTTTACCGTCACACAAATTTGTGGGTTTAATGTTAAACCATGAAATGTACACAGTAGATACAACTACATGTTATCCAAACAATACACATTTCATCTCAAAATTATCGTTTTGAAATCTTAAAATTCTGGAAATTAAGAAACTTTCTAAAGCTAAATGATTTCAAACAAACACAATAGCAAGTGTTCATGTCTTCAATGTGTGATTATTCATGTGTCGTACTGCATTGTCGTAGTCCGTTAACGTTGGGACAAATTCACAACACAGAGTTTCAAAAGACGCAGGTCACTGAAAATCATGGGGAAGTTTTCTGGTCGCTATAGTGAAATCATTGGGAAATATTCTATTTCCTTATACGCCACGGGACTGGTCATGTTAAATGCTCGTTTGTTTGCTTGTTGGTTCCGTTGTTGCATACCTTGTTCTCATTTCACAACGTAATATTACCTACTTGGATTGACAAAGACTTACATGCTTACATGAGTGTCGTGGTTAAAGCAGAAGACGGTAACTTCTCCGGAACACTTGTTCTTATTCACCTAGTACTTTTTCTGCAGTCTCCGTCTCTATATTTCTTTTGTTTCTATTTTGCTCTAGTTTTATAAATTTGGATTATAATTGTTGAAATGTTAATATTTGCTTGTTATTATAAACATTGTGGTATTATATTGCATACTTCGTATGTTTAATATTTATATAAATTTTGAGTGACATCCTTTCTTACAATGTATTGTATGTGATTGTATGTGTGACATTGTATAAAGTATTACGACAAACATTGTACGAAATAATAGTATGATCAGAGTTTGTGGGGTATTATTTTATATACAGGTGTCACATCCTTATACAATATATCCGGTGTGTAAAATATTATTGAACTTGTGTCATGTACTTCTGCAATGAAGTATGCAAACTCTGTTAGGGTTTTGCCATTTTAATTGCAGGTCGACCAGGGAGAATAAAACTTAATGCCCAAACGGAATATAGTTTTGTTAATAAAGCTGTATTATTTATTTCTATATCAATTTATGTTATTTATTTGATGAATAATTTCTACCAATTACATCTACATCCGTACCAATAGATTGCAACAAAATAACAACCTGTCAAATACGACCAACAGGATTACAAGCACAATGATTATTATCAAGATGAATTTTATTTTCCTTTACCAGAAACCATTGTAGGTAATATATTGACAAAAGTGCGCTAATTAATGGACAGCGATCACTTCTTGTATATTTCATTTTGATTTCAGATCTTACAACAGCACTTTATAACATGGCTGGAAATATTTAAATGTATGAATTTAAATTGGGTTTACAGATGGTATGAACTGCTTGAGTTTCATTTTTTCCCTTTTTTAACGTACAAATCACATAAATGAATGGGAATTGGTGACTCAAATATCATGCTTGTGAATTGTGCAAAATTTATTGATAATGTTATAATAATAATAATAATAATAAATGATAATAATATTAATAATGATAAAAACAAAACCAAATAAACACAAAACACATATGGCGCCAATATTTATTAAGTGATGACCTCACAATGATTAATACTATCAATTCCGGTATTAATGTCATTTAACATGTTAACTTAGATGATAACATGGTGAAAGTTATGGTAATCTAACAAGATAGAACGTTAAAATCGATATGTAATTATCACGTATTTTACTAATTATCATTAATTGTTTTATTGAAGATGATATTCAGTTACGTCTTCTAAATTAAACATGCACGTAATATCGTTATAAAAAAGTTTTAAACATTCCTAGTTAATACACTATTAACACGAATATCGTTATAAATATCGTTGCTCTGGAGAAGTTATGTATACCATAGTAATCAACATTATACAGATGGCATAGTTCACCAATCTTTAGTTGCATTCAGGTTTGATTACTTGCTTTGAAGCACCCGCTTATCATCCGTCAACTGTCATTAGTAAAAGTTAATAACTACATTACATTAATACATTCGTTCTGTGTTCGTCTTAAACGTGTTATACAGTAATCAGTGATCAGGTCACTAAACCCACATTGTTCCACATAGTTTACTCTACACACATGTCAAAGACTTCACATATAATTCAGCTTCTACAATAGAAACAGCTTCATATTTATCCACTTCAAACACTGATACACTATGATCACGAAAAGGGAAAACTGGAAAAAAGAATCAACCATGTACATCGGAAGTTCTCTCTCTCTCTCTCTCTCTCTCTCTCTCTCTCTCTCTCTCTCTCTCTCTCTCTCTCTCTTAGCATTAATGCAAAACATTTATTTTATTAATCTTTCACCACAATTGTTCAAATTACATCATTTTCGTTCTCATCTTGAGGTATATAAATAACGAACTATTGCACTTTACGTTGGAAAGAATGTTTCACACGAGTTACAGACCAAAATCCGTTAAAAGTTCCAAATCAAAATCGTCTGCTTTTAAAGTCAATGTCGACCTTATCTTGCTAACATCACAATTAGTCAGTAACATTTGACAAGAGGCAGACTGTCAAAGCCATCTCCCCTTATCAAGACAGATAGTGATGAAACATAATATGTAAACACCAAACATTGACATAATCGATTGCTTGTTGGCTAAATAATATTGTTTTTCCCTTTTATTTCATGACTGGTTATTAAGAACATAATTTCTAAATTTTAGTTTAAATATGAAACGTAGTAAAAAAAATCTAGCAGCCTATAAGTACAAAAGAAATCAAATTTGAAAAACTAGGAGAAATTGGTCTCAAGATTTGATGTTGATCTGAAAATAACTTCGCAACAAAAACGGAGTTGCTCTTGGTCTTTGATAGAAAAGGATGTCATTTCAGTTCATTCGAGAATCTAAACAGCCTTTTTGGTCGCTGAGCCGTTTTCTGTCTTATTTTTGTTCGAGTCTTCGAAGTTCCAGTCGACCGGGTTAATCATCTGCTGCGTCTTCTTGTAAGTCCAATATGGCGTCATAAGGAACGTGACAAGCAATAGCTGAGTGTAAAGGGATATGAACATAGCGTTGGGCATGGCGGACCAGATTCGTTCCCAGTTCTGATAGGTCAAGTACCACAGATAACATTCTGCCACAGATCGAAGATGGAAGGTGTGTACCAAAATGAATTGGTTTGCCTTCCATAACAATGTATGTGCCTTACCCGCCTTAAGGAGTGTCCAACAGATGCCAGAGAAGGGCGTACTCATTTCTAGAATGAGACCTTTTGTACCAAAGCAATGAGTACTTTCTAGGTATAAGAGTAACGAGTACCCACTCAGTGAGAGCCAATGGTGTAGGTTTAATAAAATACTAGCTTTTTTGTAAATAAGGTCAGAAATCAGTAATGTTCCACATTCAAACACGAAAAATCCGACGGTCGTTGTCAAAGCAAAATAACTTGTGGGCGTTGTGGAAAACACTGCATCTTTCACGAGTTCTGTGTCATAGAAAATAGCCCATATTCCAACTATAATACAGAAAATACCATAGGCACCACGGACAATAGCCAGATTCCAAAAGATCTTCTCCTTCTGTCGGAGGTTTCTGTACGTTTTCGTTCTGGATCCTAGTATAGCGGAGAGGAGGTAGAGGAAGGCGAAAAATACAAAGGACGAACCAACGAATTTTAGTTTGACCAAAGGATTCCGGTAATCTACCTCCGTCAAGTAAGGGTGGATATGTTCAACTAAGCCCATCCTAGAGTTCTTGTGCTTGTCTTAATTGTGGAAATCTGCAAGAAAGAAGAGATTGTTATCGGCAGTATCAACAACGTTCCCAAACAGTGCGTAAACTCGGCAGCGCCAAAACACAAGGTTTGATATATCAATTCATAACCAACAGGAACAAAACACATGGTTATGCAAGATCTTTTTATGTGACAACTCTAACTTGCTGTAGACTTATATAATCTGCTTTAGATAAATATTAACGGTACATTACTTGGCTCTAAAATTTTGAAAAACTTTAATACTTAGGTCCTTCGAATCGCTGACGAGCCCAGCTTTATGATGCAGTTTGATTCACTATCTGCCTCTAATGTATCCAAATCTAAATTTGTGTCTTTGGTAAAAGAAGTCTTTGCAGAGCCTACTAGTAAGTACTTTTTTCTTTGTCTTACAGTTTCAAAACCGCAAGCATTGGTTATTAATTTAAGGATCTAGTCTTTGTGAAAAGTCAGCGTTTTCTGATGACTAATCTTTTGAAAGTCATACTTCATTTTAAAGGGTATAATAGAGAGATTAAAGAAAAGAATAGCGCAGTATGCTCTTTTTTGTTTTGTTTTCCCGTGACATGTCTCTGAACTTCGGTTGTAATCTCGATGCATTTTAGAGCTTTTTCACTCTGATACATCGTCTTTTTCATGTTTTCAAAGTGTGATATTTTATTGTGTTCATCATCATCATCTGTTCCTTTCTGATGTAACACCCGATATTGTTTTAGTAAAACATATAAGCAAGATCCTTCTTCCAAATAATTTGTATTTATTTCACAATCAATATCATTGATGACAAAAAGAATTATCACAAAACAACAACATTAAAGTTTACCTTCAAATGTAAATCTGTCATATTTCTACTAACTTTTTCAATACCTAACACCAACAGACATTATACATTACTGATTGTAAAGTACAGTCGCATGCTTAATTGGAAACTTGATATGAAGTACATATAATCAATGAAGCTTGTGCTATTTCACACGATGCTAAATATACATGAGATGTGAAAGTTGGCTTTAAAGGTATCTAATCCGCCTTAATTTATCAGGATTACACAACTAGCACCTTCCTTACTAACGTGATAAGTCTTTAGATTAAATATAATTCATCTTTACCTGATGGTCGTTTGATTCTGGCGAGCTTAGCTTTATAATTGTATATCAAAATATTTGCCAATATAATACATTCTAGTTTAAATGTTACCTTGACCTTTGACCTAGGGATCCAGCTAATTTCTCTTTGATTTTTGCACGTAAATATATATGTATTTTTTTTCTGTCTTATTTTTGGTTTTGTTCGAGTCTTCGAAGTTCCAGTCGACCGGGTTAATCATCTGCTGCGTCTTCTTGTAAGTCCAATATGGCGTCATAAGGAATGTGACAAGCACAAGCTGAGTGTAAAGGGATATGAATATAGCGATGGGCATGGCGGACCAGATTCGTTCCCAGTTCTGATAGGTCAAGTACCACAGATAACATTCTGCCACAGATCGTAGATGGAAGGTGTGTACCAAAAAGAATTGGTTTGCCTTCCATAACAATGTATGTGCCTTACCCGCCTTAAGGAGTGTCCAACAGATGCCAGAGAAGGGCGTGCTCATTTCTAGAATGAGACCTTTTGTACCAAAACAATGAGTACTTTCTAGGTATAAGAGTAACGAGTACCCACTCAGTGAGAGCCAGTGATGTAGGTTTAATAAAATATTAACTTTTTGGTAAATAAGGTCAGAAATCAGTAGTGTTCCACATTCAAACACGAAAAAGCCGACGGTCGTTGTCAAAGCAAAATAACTTGTGGGCGTTGTAGAAAACACTGCATCTTTCACGAGTTGTGTCATAGAAAATAGCCCATATTCCAACTATAATACAGAAAATACCATAGGCACCACTGACAATAGCCAGATTCCAAAAGATCTTCTCCTTCTGTCGAAGGTTTCTGTACGTCTTCGTTCTGGATCCTAGTATAGCGGAGAGGAGGTAGAGGAAGGCGAAAAATACAAAGGACGAACCAACGAATTTTAGTTTGACCAAAGGATTCCGGTATCTACCTCCGTCAGGTAGGGGTGGATATGTTCAACTAAGCCCATCCTAGAGTTCTTGTGCTTGTCTTAATTGTGGAAATCTGCAAGAAAGAAGAGATTATCGGCAGTATCAACAACGTTCCCAAACAATGCGTAAACTCGGCAGCGCCAAAACCCAAGGTTTGATATATAAATTTATAACCACCAGGAACAAAACACATGGTTATGTACGATCTGGTTATGTGACAACTCTAACTTACTATAGACTTGTACGACCTGGTTATGTGACAACTCAAATTGCTGTAGACTTATATAATCTGCTTTAGTATTAGTATTATCGGTACATTACTTGGCTTTAAAACTTTGAAAAACTTTAAATCTTAGGTCCTTGGAATCACTGACGAGCCCAGCTTTATGATGCAGTTTGATTCACTATCTGCCTCTAATGTATCCAAATCTAAATTTGTGTCTTTGGTAAAAGCAATCTTCGCAAAGCCTACTAGCAAGTACTTTTTTCTTACAGTTTCAAAACACAAGAATTAACTTGAAGATATGCTCTTGTGAAAAACTTTTTGAAAGTCATACCCCATTTTAAAGGGGAGAATATAGAGATATCAAAAATGAAAAGAATAGGGCTGTATGCTCGTTTTCCCATGACACGTCTTTTCACTCTGATACATTGTCTTTTTCATATTTTCAAAGTGTGATATTTTATTGTGTTCATCATCATGCATCTGGATTTGCATTAAGATGATCAATGGAAAGCCACTGTGAGAACATGCCATGTATTTCTTTTACTTGAAATGGTCAAACATGAAACATGAAAATAAATATAAACAAGTACATTCCTTCTTAAGAGACAAGTTGTAAAAAAGACCGTTGAAATGTGAACAATCTTTTGAAATTAAACAATGGAAATTCCATGACACATTATTCGGAGATTTTAACAGACGATTCTTTTAAACAAAGATTTGTATGTTCTGTCCAGTAATTATAAAATATGGAAGTCCATCAATTAATTTTTTAAAAAATCCCCCAGTGCACAGGATAAGCAGGCCTAGAGGGGTTGCCACCTCTATCCGCTTGCAACAACACCTTTTGCCTTAAAATGTATGGTAATACTGGTAATATCTATGCTCTGAGGCAGAAGTTGAGGTAAACATCTTTGGAATAACATAGGAATTGTGTTGTTTGTCTCTACAAAGGATCGCCATTTTGTGATGTGTGATGTGTGAGCTGAAATAAGCAAGAGTTGGAGAACTGATGATGATCAAATGATTGTAAACCTGCTATGGCTAAAGAGAAAGCTAAACTGACAACCAAGTTCAATGTTTTCAATGAGAGCTTGTTTTCCTTGCATCTCTTTTGTATTTAACTTTTTAATTTTTAGTAAAATACACAACTGCTTTGGACGAAAAAACATTCACTGCACATTGAGATTTTTACGATATTTTATCATTTATCAGTAATGCATCCAGTGATTGGTTTAACTAAAAACACTAATTAAATGTAAAAACAGTTTTATTCAGGAAAAACAGATTACGCTATAGGTTTACCTGATGGAATCTTTATGTTGGCACCCCATATCATGTTGTGTCTTTTGTTTGTGTGATCATCATCTACATGTTGACAGCATGAACATGAAATCTGAAACAAAGTAAACAATATATCGAGGCACACAATTATAACATACAAGTGTGTATATTTTTGTAATAAATGAAATGATTTCGATATTGTTGTTGTTATAAACACAACAAACTTAAACAAGTAGCTAAAGAACCTATTCTGACGCTGTTGTGATCGCTACTCTGTACTGAAAAGTATATTTCATTACCGCAAATACATTAATAATATTTTTTCCAAAGTATTTATTTCTCGATTATTTAAATTTATGGATTTGACTACTGCAAATGACAACATACTTCTACATGTTGCAGATAGTAATCAGGGGCGTAGCTAGCCCAGCAGAAATGTGTAAGCCCAGACGAGGGGTCTGAATTTCATGATTTCAAAGATGTTTTGAATCGTTTTCTGAGACAGTTTTTTTTTTATTTATTTAACAACAAACTTCAAACCCTGATATTTATTTTCAACCTTAGTTTTGTAATTTTGTACGACATAATCTATGCACGGATTTTTTTTATGTGTAAGCCCCTGGTAATTGATATGAGTTTGTATTACTTTATGACTGAACAGTAGGCCTACATTTATATACAAGTGTGTCATGTGACTTTTAGCAGTCGGGAGCTTTGATAAAGCACGTGAGGTTGAGGGATTCAATAAGAACTAATATTGACATTGAAGGATTCAAATGCAAACTCATATTTCATACAATTCACAAAATCTTCATGGCACTTACTTTTATATAGACAGGACGCCAGTCTGCATTTCTGTCGCATCTAGAGGATAAACATGAACACAATCCCAGCTCCCCTTCTCTATGTCTGGTCCATTTTTTGTGATTTCTTCTGTATAGTTTCTTTATCGACTTGATTTTGAATCAGTGTACAAATAGTCACGATCAAAAACATATCAACAGCGATCATTGGAATAAAATAGCCGACGTTGGATCGGTAAATCACGAATCTCGGACTGAGTGATTTAAACATATTTTATCATCAGTAGCAGAAAAATTGATCAGAGACAAGTTCTAGTAACTTATGACCTCTTCTCCATAAATAAAATTACAAAAAATCAATATATTGCACGTGACACATATTCATACTATAAATATGAAGATAAGTAATTCGTAGACGTATAATTGTAAGTTTAAATCATTTTGTCAAAAGGAGGAAAAGATGAGATGATAGGATGGAAAGAAAAGAAGAGAAAACGAGAGCAAACAAGATGGTTTTCAGCTCGGCATAACCTCTTCACGTGGAGTTTCCTCGTATTACGGGCACAAAGTTTGAGATGCAGAAAATGTTGTTAGTTACTTTAACATAGCTATAATTTGT